GGCTTGGAGATGCAAGATTTCGGTCGAAGAGCTGCTGCATAACTGCCGTTATACGGTAACGCTAAGGTCGGTACAAATCATCGAAGCCACGTTGACAGACAATGCTAAACGCCACGTGCCCGGCTGGCAATGGAGTCGACTGCTCAGCTCCTCGTACAACTCGCATCTGGGGAACGGATTTCACATGGAGCTGCTCGACCTGCTCTGTTGCGTGGGGAGTCGGCTGTCAGCTCGTTTTAATAGCGAATTCTTCGCTCCGTCTCTCGATCCCAAGGTACATTCGGCCAACGTACGTCAGGCGGCGTTGATCGCTCTTCATCTGCTTTCCGATCCGAATCGCCGACGAAACGCTTCGTCTTACAAAGTCTTATGCTGATCTCTGGCCTTGTTTTTACTCCTGCGTTGTACCTCAAAGTTATGCTGCTAATGATGGGATAAATGCGATGGTCAGCAAAGAACTCTGAACTTCAACGCTTCCGATCTTGCACAGAATACTTTTTCGCATCCTATGTGGCTGGTTTTTTATATTTACTGCTTTTGTAAAGTTTTTTCATCATTTATGTTTTTAACTGTGCACTTGAAGATTTGCTAAATATTTATTAGCATTTGATAGTGATTCTTTTATGTTCATAACTACTGCTTTTTAAACACATATGCATTGTAAAGTTGAACGTAAGTTTCTGATCGAAATTTGATAATGTGTTATAAGGTTTAGTTTTCTGCCTTTTCATTGACTTTGCGAGAGATTATTTATTTAGATAGCGTTGGCCATAAGTTGAAACACGATGGTGATACTTAAACGATGAATAAACTATTCAAAGCCTTAGAAGCATTTTGTTTAAACGAAACATTCGAGAGTAGAAACGAAGCGTGTCAGTGTCATTAATCGCACACAGTCGTCATTAGGACTGTTATGTCGACAAATTGTGGCCTCTGGCGATGACCACATTGACCAACTTGATATTTACTGATCCTCCTGGAGTAAGCTATGGCGATTATTTATCCCGTAGTGAAAGTTGACCTGGTCGTCAAGATAGGGCTTGACTCCACTGTGTATGCTTACACCCAACAGTGGATATTGTCAACAGGAATTTCTTAAACTCGTCACATAGTTTAACAAAGGACAGTGCTTGACGACCATTTTGTCAACTTAGTGAAAAAGAAGTGGATGGAAATTTATAAAACCAGACTATCTTACGCTTGATGTTAAGTAGGGAAAAGTACAGGATTATTTATGCCTTGGGAGTACTTTGGATGCAGATGAGCGAGCGTTAAATGATGCATGACGTCGGGATATGGCAGCGGCGTTTGAAGTGCCATGAAATATTGGAACGAAATCTTACTCGCGAAAAGAGCAAAGATTCGCTGACGCAACTTTCTATGATGAATCCAGAAATCTTGATGATTAGGGAAAAGTTTTTCCGTTCGGAACCGGAAGTCTACTTTTATAAAAAGATTCCCCAGCGCCGGAAATTAGTGCGTAATATTCTCAGTGTATTACAGATCATACATTGTCTATAACTGCTCGGTTGTTCCTATTTAGTGTCGCAAGTGAAGCACCAATCACCATTGCACAGACGATGCAGATCGGGTCTGGCAACCGCTACACCACAGATGTTAATAGGCCTGCAATTTGCAGTAAAGTATCTTGGAATGTCAGGGGGGCAAGGACGGTGGCCGTAGCAATAAGCTGTGCATTTACAAATCTCGTATTCCGAACATCTCGATACATAGTCTTTTATAGTCATTTGACGAGAGAAAAGCTGGATCGACGGAAACGAAACTTTAAAGATACAGAGTAAGGCACAAATGATTAAAATGGCATTATATGATATTAGGCGCTGTTCTAAGTGAGAGAATACGATGCAGAACCAAACGACTGGTTGAATACAGCTGCAGAGCGCGCTTAAAGTGACGTAGTTATTGCCAGCGAAGTAAAAATAGCCGCTTAGAAGCGAATATTTACCGAAAGCCTGATGGAAGATGGCTGCCAGGAAGATCTCAAGCGACACGGTTCGTAAGCGCCGAAAGGGTTGAGGACTGAACACTCATTTATTCACTTTGCGTGAAATGGGTACCGACACCTTTGAGTCATCTTTGATGCAATGTGATAAAAGAAGATACCTTACTGATGGTGCTGGCGTTGAAATGGTTAAATAAATATAGGATTCTGAATCGTTCTGAAGGCCGGATTTTTTAAAAGATCAATCATAATAGATGTAGAATAACTTCTATTGCTTTGCAAACAATTTAGCCAAATATAGCCCGATGATGTGAGAGAACTACCAACAGTGGCAGATTTCTGATTCCATCAGCAGCAGCAAATATCTTCACATTGATCACACCGAATTTACACGACGAGGACTCTAAAATAATTTATTTTGCTCTGATATAGCAGTAGCGTACGACGGATGATAGTCTTTACACCGGTTTTTAATGTAGGAAATCATCGTATCCTTGCCTCTAATCGTCTAAGGAGATCATTTAACCAGGCGACGACTTCATAATGATTGAAATCCGTCAGTGCCTATGATGCGAAACAGCGCCGGCGAGTTGCCCCGAACGATAACATGTTCGATCCCCAACAAAATTGACGTTATTCATAGGCAAATATGTCAATTTCAAAAGTATAATCTCAGTGGTTTGGGGTAGGTGCCAAGAATGCGCTACAACATGCCCAACAAGCCTGCGGAAGACTCAGAAACGACCGAGATTTACTTGGAGTGCCTGTATCGAAGGACTCTGTTCTACTCTACGATTGTCTTGTGCCGAAGCTTAAACGTTGGCATCGGGAACGCCGGAAACACTTTGACACGTCTGCCTCCGCGACTGATTGATTGATTGATCTACTAAGTTTGAAATTAAAATTTATTTTATACTTTAAATTTAACTACTTGGCACCTACTGCATCCTTTTCTTTTTCAGCATAGTACATTGTTACGCAATATAAGCATTGTACCAATGATCATAACAGCGTTCGAATGATGTTTTTCCCACTGGAAGATCGTTGGCTCTCGTATGCGATAAATCAGCATGAATTTCTCATGATGAGAATTTCTGTTGAAATAGAAAAGCATTTCAATAGCGGAGTAAGTGGGAAAAGGGAGAATTTGTGATGGTTGAAATGTCCGTTTTTGTTACACTTCCATAATGTGGTTAATTTGGCAACCTTTTTGTCATTAAATTAATGGTGAAGCGCTGATTTCTATCTCTGTGAAATCATTGAGGACTACCATATTTCACAGGCAGAGTCGACTCGGCTATGCTGAAGGAATATCTTGTAGTTTCCTTTTTCCTCCCTAGTATGGTACATATTTTTTAACCTCGGATATGGCAGAGACGATTTTTCTTAACAATACATGTAACTGCTTGAGTCAAGCTAGTTGTGAACACATCGTAAGTATAGGATTTAATAAAATAATGACTTAATTTATCTCGATTTAATACCCTTACCCTTGCCTCGTCATTTTCACTCACGTTTTAGGTGTCAGGGGGACAATAATATGCGTTCTTAAGTTGTTCATTACGAAAATACTTGCACTGGTTTTAGCCGTTTATTGAAAACTGAAGATTGAAATATGCTGAAACTAAGGTTTTTAATCATATTGATGATAGTTGCTTAATATTTGACCTTCTTCGTATTTTCAGTGACATTCTCTTTTTCTGTTCGTTTTTTCAGCATACTTCATTCACGAGTACGTTATATGCCACTCAAATTTTATTCACTTCTAATGTGTTGAAAACGGGAATGCACTACGAATTTCGTTCAAACTGT